GTAGCTCCGTAATTGACTAGTATGAGAGCGCGCGTGTGTGTGGTGTATTGTGTAGGTCGACCGATAATTTCTGGCAATGAAAATAAAACGATCTAAACACGACAGAGCGGGATAGCTTTAGGGGAAATGGACTATTTTTTCTGTTCCGTATTCACAGCTGACAGCGCCTTCAGGTGTAAATAAGTAGCCTTGGGAAAGGTGTTACAGGAGTTATGTGACAATAAGATATCGGAAATGACAAAGTTCATGGGCTAGAATTGTCCAGCTTAGCCGCCAAATGACACGATTGTGTTCTATTTCCGATTCCCGTACCGTGATATCCCGACGACATGAAGGATAATCTGACTAAAGTGGACGTTAGGCAGGTGGACGGTTTTGTGGCGGGGAAGTCATAATGTGGCGGGGATTTGGGCGGGATCCGAGCTAAGGACAAGATATTAGTAGGGGAGGATCACTTGCCTTCCCACGGACACCTGTGAAGGGGTTATTACGGAAAGGGCCGCTGTCTCAATTTTGTATCTTCGTTTCTTGGAAGTGCTATAGATCAAAAAGGGGAAATGTTTACATAAGAGAAGAAAAAAAGGAACCAACCAACCAACCAACTAACCAACCAACCAACTAATTAACTAACTAACTAGCTAACCAACAACTAAGTGATACCAAAATAATGAGACCATGAATGATTTATAGAAGTTTCCAAAGAAGATATCCACATTGACATACAATGTGGCTTCGTTGTCTGCCAGACTGTGCTGTACCTTGACAGACTACGCCACTTCTTCACAAGCATGTCCAAGGACGTAACACTAGCAATACATTGAAGCTATAGTTATAAAGTAGGTACTGTACAGATTCGGTATAAAAACAATAGTTATTTGATAATGTTAAGAATTATGATTAAGATTAAAATCAGGATTAACAACGGAGAGATCACGATTTTGTGTTATCTGGCAGGTGTATCATGTAAAGGATTGGTAAGGGATTTGTATCTCTCAGTTCTTGTGTTTTTAGAGCCAATGAGTTGTGAATCCTGTCGACATATTTCGTCTGTCCCTTTCATCGCCAGGGTGGCTCGAAATAAGCTTTTGGCCACTCAAAAGTCGTTTGGCAACGTGACTATCTATGGTGGGTGGGTAAAAATCTGCTTTGAAATGACAATGATAAGTGTGTGTGGATCCGACCGATCAGTCAGGTCTTACGCAAGCTTGTACCTACTGTAGGTAGGGTGGGTAGAGCCTTAGGGCGGTTTAACGGTTATACCAGACAAAACAAAAACAAACTATCAAACAGACACCACAAAAAACGTAGTGACAGCTCGCGAGGGAAGGGTTCTCTGTTCCTGACAAGGAAGCATTTTGAAAACGACAAGACAGCATCCATATTTCATACTAATAATGATCATAATAATTCATTTGCCCACCGGTGATGCTTGACCGATAGCATGACCCTTAAGGAATAGGCAGTCCGACAAGGGCCTCTGCGGAGTGGTGTAGGAAGACACAGACTACACCGGCAGGATGTATTTCAGGTTATTAAGACGTTGTCAGCGGTAACACCTGCCAGTAGAGGTTGAGAAGGAGGTACGTCACGCCACACAGACATATTCTGAGTACTCGAGTCGATGGTGGCGTTCTCTTATCTCACATACTGCATGTTATGTTTACCTGCCTGCTGTTTCAATGGCCGATTGGACCTATCGCATGTATGTACCTTTTCCTTCACTGCGTTACGGTAGTTAAACAGTGACCAGGGGGCATTACATTGCAACGTATCTTTTGTACTTTTCGTTGTATAGTTTTGAACACCGTCACACTCTGACCATTACCTGTTCATAAATGTTTGAATTACGTATTTTCTAACTCTTATGATATATCATGGGTAGAAAGAGAAGCAAGCCAGTCCCTCGATCTGAGTGAACAAACTTTGAACTCTCCGCTCAACTCCTCAGTAATACTTTTAGCTTTTGTAGAGAATTTTAGAGAACTTGTCTGTGTGTGAGTTAGCTAACCTAAGAGTCTGGTGTTATGTAACATGTTTTGATTTTAACTGTTTGAAGGTGCTCCAGGCCTTGAGGCATATGCCGGCGCTGGTTACGTAATACAAGCAAAACAACATGTGCTCCAGAAACTTTTACGTAATACATGTTCTCAGTCTCTGAAATAGGTCCAATGTTGTCATGATTTCTGCAATGTTTTAATATTATTTAGTTAAGTTATTGTATGTAACTATGTATATGTATGTACATTTGTTCTACGTGGTGCCCGTCATCAGCTGGGGCTGCCTGGGTAACCACTGTATTGTGCTTGTTGCAATTTCGAATATATAGATAAAATAACTAAATTCCGCCCAGTATATTCCGTGGCGTGGTGTGTCGGTGGAGGATCGTGCAGTGATTGATGGCCATAAACACCTCCCGACGCGGAAATGTGTAGTGACCCGGAAGTAAAGAGTAAAAGGTGCCCTCCCGTACGTACAGTGACCCCGGCACGGATTCAATGGAGGAAAGTGTTCCACGCACCTGTAGTTCGAACTCATGCATGCCCGGCCTTTGTTCAGGCTCACCTCGTAAATTTTCAAGAACAAGAAGTCATTAATGAACGAAATTGTTCCAGTTCACCCTTTAAAAAGACGACGCACCGACCTAAAAAGACTACCAGTCCGTTACAGATAAAGTTACTAAAGAAGATGTTATCTATTTATCTATTAATTGCAATTACCACATTTGTGGAAGGATTGACATAGCAGGTGAGTTTCACCTTCCCAAGATGTCAGCCAGGAGACCGGACTGTAAAGTCTGATCAACTCACACCGGGGTGGATCGTTTCCTTGATTATATAGATTTAATTTTGTTTGGAGCTGCGCGAAATCACCCAAGCCTCAAGATAGGAAACTTTTAATCAAACTGACACAGTCGGGTAATTAACGTTGTGAATAATTCAGATGAAGGTAATGTGATTTTCATTTCGTTTGAAGTACGAATGGAAGTTTAAACTCGGCCAAGCAGTTTAGGTGTGCATCTTCAACTATTTACTTCGTCGCTGTTATTTTGTCAGACTAGATTTGATAGTAAATCTGACTAGTAGATGAGAGAAAAAGGGACAATTACCGGGGTTGACCGGAGGCCTCAACCATCACTATACTGCCTGGGGGTACCACAGGGAAGCAGCATTGGACCTACTCAAGCGCACAGAATTGGCTTTGTGTTCTAGGCAATGGGTGACAGCATGTCGCCATCATTATCGCAGCTATGTCTCTAATGTTCACATTTTACACCGTTTTGCCACCTTTTATTGGGTTCCAATGACTTGGCGGCCATTGGACGGCCAGATCAGCGGCTCTTTGCCGCCTGTCTGAGCTGATGAAGCTCAAATAATAGCCAGGGTCATTTGTCACAAAGATCATCTTCAAAACGAACAATGGAACAAAAGTCAGTGTAAAGCGTAGGTAGTAGTCTCTTAATGACATTTCACTCTGCAAATATACAAACCCGGGGGACTGCAAACGTAAAAATAATAAAATCCCCAAGAACGTGTCAGTTCGAGACGTTTCTCTGTAGTGTTCTCTACTGTCAACTATAATTTCACTGTCAACCTGCCGAATAGTAATTGTCACATCCACCACCACTGAGCATATTATACTTATAATAATCACTATTCAGCAGGATAACAGTACTTATCAATAACTGGAATTATGGCATTAATTCAAATTGCTCATTTTATCCAGAGAACGATGTTTGGGCGGAGACAGAGATTTTCACATTTTCTGCTTGGACAGTAAGATAATAATTATGTCATTTGTCATGAGTTTCTTATTATTTCTCTTGACATCGAATGCAGATTTCATTGTGCAGGTTGTACATGCATTAGACTAGTAGGCCTTAGTCAATCTGTAGTCTACCTTGCACCCGTATAGTTAGATATCACTAATGTGTGAATAGCCAATCAGTATGCCGTTTAACCATTACAATTGCTTGAATCTTCTAGACAAGTTAAAATGTGTAAGACCCCGGGATAACTGTCCTGTACGCGCGCAGACCAGCCGCCTTGCTTGCCTGCTCGTACCAGCGCGTCTGAAGTTCATGGCAGCTGTGTTTGTGGAAGCTTCGGAAATGACACGCTCCAGACAAAACTAGGAAACAAAACTGATTGTATTTTTTTTACTTGTCCACAGGTGGTGTGTACTTGTGTATGTACACCAAAGTATATAAGCAACGGAAACGTATACTACTATTTTTTTTATTTATAGACGGACGGGAAGTATGCTGATGGAGAGACATGTGTAATCAAAAGTTACAAAAACGCACTGCGTTTCCGTAGCCACGTATTATGATATTTTCATGGACTACACTGTCTGATGAACCTTAAGGCTAACGTTGATTTTCGAGTTCAGTGTTAAAACAGCAATCACGTTATTATTTCTTCTTAATGAATGTGAAATCTCGGTTCTGCATTCAACTACGTGGAAAAGGTCCATTCCATATATTTTACATAGCATAGCTACACAAAACAACGGGGGTACTGCCCTAACAGCTCCATCATAATTGTCTACAATAAGATAACATCATCTGCTAGCTGTAGTGTATATAGTATATGCATGGAGCTGGTATGTATATGTCGAGAATGAAATTTTAACATTACAACCATTTGTTAATACTGCACCAGGTGTTCGGGCGTGTGTCCAAACTAACATTGACACCTGCTTTAGTTTATTTATTTTGTACTTCCTTCCAAAATAATGACACTGAGCTGTTTGAGATAAATGATGAAAATAAATAAACAACGACATCTGCGACAAAAGCCGTTGGAAAACTGCGTCAAAATCTGAAATGAGATCTTTCGATTTGAATATGAAGCTCTGAAACGAGAAAAACGGCATGATTTGATCAGATCAACCATTTCTATGGTATACGATATTATTCCAATTTTTCCTCCTGGCTATAGCAGCTTCAGGTTTCGTGTAGACGTTATTAATTAACAGTAGCTAACTGTACCACACGTGTGTTCCTGCCCAGGTGAGGCACATGGGGACCGGCGGAGAGATGCCGCGGAAGACCGGCAGTCTGGACACAGCGGGGCGGTACCTGGCGGAGTTCGGCCAGCAGGGACAGGTGGGGGAGAGGAGGGACTGGGACATCAACGATGCCTCGTTACCGGAGGTAAGGACAATAGACAACCAGGGACGACTCTAACACGCTTATCAAATGCTTGTAAAAAAACTTGTAAAAGCGAAAGAAGAAAACACAAGAAATTAATACAAAAGGATGCAAAGAGAGCGAATTAACGCTATCAGTGGCAATACAATTTTGTAGAAAACACTCATCTTAAGTCTTGTAACAATCGCAGTTGAGTCTCCATTTAAAAACACTAGCCTACAGATTTCAGTTTTCGAAGAAAGCGTAGCATGGTGTAGTGTCTATGTGTAAGCCTATCCTGTCTATGGAACACATTGGTACAGAACTCTGAGCCGTGTAATGGGCTAACAACTGCCCATCAGACGATGTAATAAGAGACACAATAGCAGGTTCTTTCCCGACACGTGGCCGTGGGTTGTCTCACGTGCGGGTAGAAGTCAGGTGCGCGCTCATCATTGTCCGACCGTCCCGGGCGTCTGGATCACGTCTGTCACGGCGATGGCTCATCATGATAATCAGGCAAACTTTACGGGCAAACGCTTAAGAATCATATGTTCTTTTGTCGCGCACGTCAATCAAGTAAGTTGCCTGGAAGAAACATTGTGTTTGGCGAGGTTTTGTGACAGGATATAATTTGTTTCTTCCAATTATCATAGATTTAATGGGAAAAACTGAGCAAACGTTGGTGAAAGTGTGTTGGCAATTAGATGTTTATTGGTTGGGAGATGCAGTGTTGTATTATTTAAGCCGATGTTTGAACTATTCAATTTTCTAAGGTAATTGTGCCTTTCGGAAAAGTACTTTGTACCTATTTCCGATTGTTTTGGAATCCAAAAAAGATTCCAAAACAATGCCTCAATACGGGTGAAAATGTAACTTCGGTGAGGGGACGTTCTCTCGGCTGAGAGATAAAGCCGCATGCAGGTCTCATGTTCGAGGAGATCCACACCTCATGCAGGTTAAAGAACCCACCACACTTATCATTTAGAGTAGGGGTTCATCTCAGTGTTCGTGGATCAAACCTTTCAGTCCCTTCTTGAGCACCTTATACCAAATGTGCAAACCAGATGTCAAAACAGACCATGAAACAAACGATCGCACAAACCGACAAACCTTATCTGTGTTTTTGTCCGCCAGGCCTGTCGGCTGGACCCGTTCCACGAGTGGCCTGACGGGAACGTCCGGCTGGTGTTCGACGCTAGCGACACGGACGCGCGGAAACACGTCAGCGGCTGGGCCATGCGCAACACCAACAACCACAACTGCCACATCCTGAAGAAGTCTTGTCTGGGCGTCCTGGTCTGCGCGCTGCACTGCACCACTCCAGACGGAGGGAAGATCCACATGCGACCCGCTATATGTGACAAGGCGAGGAAAAAGCAACTGGGTAAGAGGAGATCGCAGTCTTTATAAAGAGGGATGGCATGCGATTATCCCCATTTTTTTACAAGAAGGGTAAATCAAACAGTAATGTTCTCCATGTGTGAATCTGCTAAAAGTATGTTTTCTCGGAAAAAGTTCAAATTGAACTAAGGACAAATGGTATGAATTATTCTTTATGCCTTAAACAGTGTGAGAGACACAAATAAATCTGTGATCTATGACTTCTAATTCAGCCTCGGCATTTAAACAAGCTGTAAACGTTACTCCAGCTGAAGTCACTAGGGAGCGCTGTTTCACAGTAAACACCATAGCTGAGCAGTATGCCTCCGAGCTGCATCAATTAATGCAATAGAAACACATTCTGCTTTTTCATATACAGTTCAGTGTTTATAGTCTACTTTGCACGTGTTCTCCGAAAATGCAGACACTCAAGGCGTTGTCTGGCATGAGCAGTCAATTTCACATGCAGTATGTTAAACCACCGCTAGGCGATTCATCCCACATTCATGGCAACGGACACACAGTAACTTCAACACTTTTGGTAGAAAACATTTGTTAGTCGAGTAACGATCCGTGGCGATATCCGAATCCGTGCATATGAAGTATATAAAAAACACTCAAATACAACAAAACACTCCAACACAACGACCTATCTTCTACCAAGGAGAGAGAAAGCTTCTTACTCCTACCCACGCTTATGATAAGTTGTTGCAATGCCTATAACGTTTGTATTGTGTATTACCTCAGGTAAGCAGTGCCCTAACGGCTCGTGCCAGGGCCGGCTGGAGCTGATGCCGTGCCGCGGACACTGTGGTTACCCCGTCACGCACTTCTGGCGCCAGGAGAACAACGTCATCTTCTTCCAGGTGACTGACCTCATCCTAGCTCTTTATCACATATAGCTATTTTGACTTTAATGAGTTAATACCTTTAGTAGAAGACAGAGGAAGACGTCTCAGGGAAGTCTGGGTGGGGTGGGGGTTATCGTCCAGCACATACCGCCTTAGTGGCTGCTTGTTTGTGAACATTTTTGGACTCATCCAGCTGTATTCTTCAGCTGCCTAACTCAGTCCTTCAGGACACCTGTCTTGTGCACGTGTGACTTCAAACGGTCAAAGTTGAGAGAATTTTAACGTTGTTTGCCACGTGCAGTACTCTTCACGGACGCATGTCTGGTAGTAACTACATGTGTATCATCTGTGAGTTCGAATCCCTTGTCCTTGTATAGATTTGACTGAAGTTCTTTAAATTTCAGGCCAAAGGAACGCACGACCACCCTCGGCCCGAGCCTAAGGCGTCAGCAGAGGCCAGAAGGAACTTGTCTGGAAGAAGATACTCTATCGCAAAGGTACAGAACAATATAGCAGTGTTCAACACCTCCAAGTAGTGTACATATGAGCCGTCGTAGAGCTGAACTTTTGCTTGTAATTACATGTATGCGTGCGGATCATCCATTGTGGGTTCATAAACTCCTTGTCAAACTTTAGGTCAAACTTGCATATTCATTACACCGTTTTAGTCATATTTTAACCATTTTATTATGTTTACTACCAGGGGAGGAGTGACTGTCTGTACGAAGGCGCGCAGGCGCAGTACGTGGGTGAGGGCACACTGAAGAGAAGCCGGGCTAAGATGATGTCCACCCTGTGGGACCCGAACCCGCTAAAGAAGATGTGCATAGATCCATTCACAGGTAAACCATCTTTTAAAGTCTCTCTGGATCATACGTTGACCAACATTAGTAGGCGACAGCAAATGCGAATAGTTGGCACTTTCACTTTATTTCCCACCTGTAGAGATGAATGACTTATCTTGACTATTTTCCTTCTATCTCAGATAAAACGCGGAACCTGATCACAGAGGACCAGTTCTACATCCACAACTACCCCGCATTGCCTGATGGGAAGATGAAGGATCACGTCACCCATGCCGTTACCGAGCCTTACTGCAGCATGTCCACGTCACCTGTCCTGTACGGGCGGACCCACAAACGGCAGACCATCTGGGACACGCAGGTAAACAAACCTGCCAACTATTGCCATGGCAACGACGCAGAAGTGTGTAGTTCTCCCGTCGCCATGACGACGTGCTCGCAAGAACAGCGACCGGGCGACGCCATGCCAAACTCTTCTCCCGACGGCACGTGGGGCCAGCACTCTCCGTACCACCAGCCGGGCGTGCACGGCAGCGCCGGGAACCAACTGTCCGTCTACTCGAACGTCCACGTCCATCAGCAATCCTTCCTCGTCAGGTCTGAGACCATCATCGTTACCAACAACAACACCTCCTCCAACGGCGCCGCGTACCCTGTGGAGAAGTGGGCGGTGGTAGACGGGCACGGCTCGGACGGCGACACGGAGGGCGTCATCAGACACAGCGGGACAACTCGCTCGTCCTTCCCAAACAATGTCAGCCCTTCCAACGCAGTGACCTTCGACTATCCTCAAGGAGAAGGTTGCCATGACAACCAAACGTCCACAGACTTACATCGCGAGAGATCTCTCCCCAGCATCGGCTGTTTCATCCCCGAGACGTCGCCTGGCACGGCGGCCAATCACGGACAGTCCCCACCGCATGCGCGGTACGAACAAGCAGCCTCCTACCCACAGGGCAGCAAACCGGAGGACTCACCCTTCTCAGGAGACTCAAGATGGCTGCCGTGTGGGCGAGACACGGCCAAGTCTGACCCCATCCCTGTCCCCTCCGTGTACCAGAGCTGTCGGTACGCCAACTCACCCAGCGCCCTGGTCATGGCCACCACGTCAGGCCCTGGTCACTTCGCCACGGAGTTGCCGCCCAGCGGCTACACAACCTGCGCCTCAACGGCTCTGTCCTGTGTTTGAAGAGCTTGTAAAAATGGAAACAAACCGACAAAAATTCGTCCAGGACAGACACTTTTGTACAGACTATTTGTATCGGCAGTCGAGTATAGTTTGTTTACGGTATTTTGTTTGTTGTGACATTTAGCGGGGCGTATTTGTTGACAAATCGATCATGAACCATTCCTAACTATTCGCCAAGTTGTGCAAGTCGCTTCATCCAGAGGTTCATTGCAACCCATCAACAGCGTGGTTTTACTGAAATGGAAACATTTGGCAATATTCACATTCTTGATATCCCGACAATCCCTCTTAAAACACTTTTAGTAGCTTTTATAGTCTATAAAAGTGTATATTTCTTTCCAAAACATTTACGGGGATGTTCGAGTCTGTTTCAATCCATATTGCTGTCAGTCATTCACACATGCGACACGCCAACAAACACCCAAAGGTCAGTCCCGGCCGACCTTATTGTTCATCCAATAGAAAAATGGCTCAGAAAACTCCCTAACAAAAGGGCGACATCCTGACAACTACCCAGGGATTATACTACCAATTATCCCCGCGCCATTTCTGTCAAAATTTCCGCCGTGTTCTTGTAAGGTTTCTGGCGCGGAGGGACTCATTACACGTTGGCGCCGACGTGGAACAAATCCCGTGCCGCCTTCGGTACAAGAATAACAAGTGCTGTGTTGTATTGTGCAGGTATACCCCTGGGTTCTTCCCACTGCACGTGTTTTACAGATAGATCAAACGGTTGTCAAGCAGGGGAGATACATGGAATCAATGAGAGCTCTTGAGTGCCTTTCGTTAAGTGCGTAGGTTTATGGCCCATTTAATGGTGGGTTATAATGTATGGATGTTTCAAGAATCACAAACATGAGAACGCGTAGAAAAACATGGAATCACAATGAAACGACGTCTATTATTGTCTGTCGGAAGAAAATACCAAGAAGTCCTCCGTACTATTTAGAAACAATTAGATACTTTTGACAGCAATTTGCAATATTTCCAATTGAAGAAGATATGAAGAAGTCCCTTTGTCGTGGACACATTTTTGATATTTATACAAAATGTTTGTCTTGTACTTTCTATCTAGTGTTATTTATACAAAAAATGAGTAATTTACATGTTGTATTTATTTTTATCGTAACCATGACGACATGGTTGGCAGATGCTGACGGAAAATGTACGATCTGAGCTGAGAAAAAAGCGGAATGTTTGTGTATATATTGTGAAATAAACTTGTGAGATGCCTTACTATGTATATCATTCCCACGTATTGCTCATGTACAGCTAGTGGAAGTTCGTACACAGTCAGCATTAGTATCCCGTCAAATGAATCATATATTTCTATCTTAATTTATAATTCATTAACCATTAGCATGCATGATTGATGTCCACTTTGTTCAAATATCACGAAAATGCCCAGGCGGAAACAGACACTTGATTTCTTATATTAACACACAGCATTGTGGCCTGTATTAGTTATCGTGCATGGAGATGAGTTAGACACCGACGGTACCGGAGTGACCAGTAGCTTTTGTAAAATGTGGCAGCATTGTCGGCTTTTCTTTTCCCATCGCGAAGTAGTGTCTATAACCTGTTATCTTGCTGTTCAATGTGCCTGACTGTGCTATACTATGGTAAGATAATAGTACATGTAAAGCTCTATTTAGTGCAATGATTCCTTTGTTAGTCAGTGTGCGGTCACATAAGTCGTACGAGCGTCTTGCGATCGCAAATTGAGGGCATTCTTGGTAAAGTCGTGCAAAATTTACCAATCTTGTTACGGAAAAGTTTGTAGTCACAGCTTGCTTGGAAAACATTACGGAATGAAAATCGGCGACCTACGACGAATGTGACCGCGCCGTAAGAGACACTTGTGTTGTTAGCTTTATGTCTAGGCTGATGCCTATCTAGGAGGAAAGGAGTTTCGTACATGGTGTTGTAGCCATTTGACAGGGACCAAACGTGATTAAAGTATATAGTTCATCATACAACGCTTTGTAGTTTATTTTTGTTCAAAGTTTTGTGGTCGGATGAACGGTAGCCTTTCAGAGAACTTGTGACATGCACCGATAACTTGAGAGGACCAATCCTATATCCAGAGCTATCAGTGGAAGCTCAGAATTAATTATCACTATGGGAATCATCGGAATACTCTGTGACTATGAAAACCAGTCATCACACCCCCAACACCATGGTAGCAGACAGTTCTCAGTCGCTCCATATATGTTTGGTCCATGTTAGCACATATGCAAAAAATCAACAAGATTCAGACATTCCCAATTCCCCTGACTTCCAGTAAAAATGTTATAACCTACATTCTTGCTAGAACGTACGGATGAAGAGTCGAAAATCAGTCGGGCTGAGCTGGCCCGGAACTGTGTTTATGTCACGGAATATCCTCGCATCATCCAGGATTTAGAGAAATAGATTATTTACCAGGTACTTTGTAGAGTTTGTGTCTCACAATCACAAGCGGTAACCTTTTGTAGGGCTTAGCGGATATAAGAGTGGTTCAGATTTGACCAAGTTTGGTCCAGGTGTGCGCAAACAAAACAGACAGGTGGAGACTGAGACTTGTCTTACAATGGGGCCGTTGGAAACGTCCGTATACACGGGTCAATCGAGTCATCTATGGGCAATTTACTAGGACTAGTGATCTTCAGCCTGTAATTGCTCAAATACGCGTGGGTGTAGTATAGGTGACTTCTGGGCTCCAATATTGTATAAAACATCAAACGTCACAATACAAAAGTCTACTTTAACTTAATAAGGGGAACAACTGTCTCCGCCGGGCTAGTCCGAGTGCACTTTCATCCTCGTGGGAAGAATTTTCTGATATCTAATATGATCTAATATGATCTGATGATGAACCACGTAGGTGTCTGTCCCCGTGCATGTTCTCTACTGCTGTCGTTATCATTATTATCTAATGCCCTGGTATATTCTAATAAACAAATATGACCCACTATATAACTCCAATATGAGACCAAGATTGTGCACTTAACCCAAAGATTTCATGTAGAATGCGTGCCGTGAGAAACTGTACATAATTGTAAGACCTGACGCTGTGTTCAGCATCTAAATAATCACACAATTTTATAAGTCTACAAAAACATTCCGAACATGCAACATGCCATGTTCACTGTCCTGTCAAAGGGACCGTCGGAACAAAAGGCTTAACGTTACAAAGTTACCGATAAAGTATTAGTATGATAGTCAACACCTGGATGGAATTACAGCAGAACACAAAAAAGACAAGATGATACAGTATGATCTTCTAATGTATCGTTCGTCACAAGTTGCTCGAGGCAAATGTAGGGGACAAAAGGCAGAGATAGGTAGTCACAAAAGATGATGGTAGCAGGTTTTAAGCCACGTGACACCAGTGAGACCCTCTAAGAAGCCCCTTGGGAGATTTGGGGGCGGGGCAAAGCGATAAATTTGCTGAGTTCGCGATCTGTGCTTTCAAAATACCGACACACTCCAAAAGATTTCGTTTCTATCAATGTCCCCATATAACAAATGTAGGATCATTCATTTATATCTCATTTCTGTTGTCCGCCTCACTCCATTTCCACCTTAGTGCACCAGAATGGGATGGTCCTTACTCATGCTCATGATTGGACTGTACTGTTTAATCAAACCAGAAGTTGTCTTGAAGCCCAGGATACGATACCTGACTTTGTCTATAACTTTAGTGTACTCTGCAGCTGCCAGTAGGAGGTACTTGGAAATCTATTCAATTTGCAGAATGTAGACCATGACCAGATTAAAGGAAATGGTCCTGAAGTTGTGGACATTCTGTAAGACCTAATAAACAGATTGATGTAAAAACACTGCGAAGTAGGAGAAATATGACTGACACGTTTCCATTACATCTCCGTCACTTCCTGTGCCTCTGTCTAGTTCCGGTGTGCCTAAATCTAACCTTGTCCTTCACATTCTTTCTGAAATTTGACCCTTAAAAAGGTATCCATCATTGTCTGTTTCTCAGCGGTTAAAAATTCGGTTTAACTACTTGGGTGTGCCGACTTTCGACACCACTTAGATTTCGTTTGTCTAGTTTGAAAAGACCTGCTGGGTTGAAATGTAGAATGACTCAGAAACGCCCACTTGAGGCCAGCGTTACCTGTCATCTTCAGGTAAATGACAACAGCCTTCGGCGCCTTTGATCGATGGGATTTTGTGAGTGCCACCTGGTATGAATCCAACGTGAATATACCATATCCTTACAACTACCGTTACTAATATCACCGATAAGGATCACTCGGCCATTGATAATTGATAGGCATCCGTGATTCATCGAAGTGAAGTCAGTTGTATTGCGGATAAAGTATGTTGTTAGAGGGCACACCTTTAATTACAGTGCGCTTGTTGACTACTGCATAATGAACACCTCGGGGTATGTTAGCCCACACGAGATAGCGTACGTTGCCTTATAATTACTGTATAAATAGGGCAGAAACCGGTCAGGTAGGCACAGTGCGTGTTAGAGCGCGTGGTCGATAACATAGAGAGCACAACACAGGAAACATGGCGTCTTCACTGCTGTCTCAGATCAGCGAGGACTTCTTGAAGTGTCAGATTTGTCACGACACGTTCAAGCGTCCGAAGGTGCTGTCCTGTCTGCACACCTTCTGTCTGACGTGTCTGCAGAGCTACCTTAAGAAGAACCCGCGGGTCAGTATCAAGACTTTCCTCTGTCCGCTGTGTCGTCAGGAGACGGCGACACCGGCGACAGGCGCGGACGGTCTGAAGGATAACTTCTTCGTCTCCAACCTCCTGGAGGCCCTGTCGACGCTGAAGACGTTTAAGGTGAAGGGGTTCGTGGCGTGCGGCAGCTGCGGCCGCTCCGCCAGTTCCCGCTGTATGGAGTGTGAGGACTTCCTGTGTGTCCACTGTCATGGCGTCCACGCCAAGCTGAGGGCGACGCGCGTCCACACCGTGCTGTCCATCCGGGAGCTGAGCTCGGAGGGAGGGAGCGCACAGATCCGGGCCTACACCAAGGCAACACTCTGCCCGGTACACGAAGGTGAGACCATGAGGTTCTACTGTGAAACGTGCCACAAGCCCATTTGTCGTGACTGTACCGTGCTAGACCACAGCAAGCCCGACCACAAGTACGTGTACTTCAAGGACGCTCTGGCGTCACGGAAGGACGAGATCCAAGGTCTGCTGAACTCCTGCAGGGGTATGGTGGAAGGTCTAGAAGCGAGCAAGGAGCGACTGGAAACCGAGGAAACCGAACTGAGAGATACTAAGGAGGGAACGCTGAAGCATATAGAAGAATGGGTGGCCATGCTGCTGCTGGACACACAGAAGAAGAAAGAAGAACTTAAAGATCAAGTCGAGACAATCTACAACGAGCAGCTTAAGGAACTCTCGGCGGCCAAAAGTAGGGTAGAAATGACGCTAAATGACATCCAGAGTGGGTGCAGCTTCTCGGAGAAGGTTCTGGATATTGGGACAGACTTTGAGATTTTATCCATGCGTAACGAAATGTCAGCCAGGCTGTCAGACTTGACGAAGATGGAGGGTCCCAAAGTTGACAAAAATCGCTCCGGGCTGATAAAGTTCCGACCGTACGGAGGGATCGGAGAGCTGGTGAGGCTGGGGGTAGGGGAGTTAGACTCCTGCACAGTTGGAGAACTTGTGTTGAAGTTCGGAGACTGGGGCCCACAGCAGGGACAGTTTAAACACCCAGGCGGAGTCGGCGTGAGTTCAGCCGGGCACATCGTCGTGGCAGACACCGGAAACCACCGGGTCCAGGTGTTCGACAGTCGCGGGGTCTTCTTACGGGCGTTCGGCTTCTACGGCTCGACAGATGACGCCTTCAGCCACCCGCACGACGTCGCCATGACAACAGACGACCGCATCCTGGTCACCGACAAGGGCAACAAGGTCGTCAAGCTGTTCACCATCGAGGGTAAACTGATCGGAAAGATTGGCAGCGGACACCTGAAGGAGCCGACAGGGGTCGCTGTGTACAAACATGGCGGCGTGGCGGTGACGGACACCTCTGCGGTGAAGACCTTCACACGGACCGGAGTCCTGTCGGCTACCTGTACCAGCGATGATCCCGGGTACTCACACTACCTCTGTACCGACGACGACGCCAGAGTGAGTACTTTCCTTTTCCTGCCTTGGCAACGTCTTCAATTTGACACCCCAACATTATTTCATTGACATTGTAAATACCTCTGTTTACGATCATGTATTATAGTTAAGTTATATATATATATAAGCCCTGTAAACTCTTTGGCCCGTTCGTAGGCTACTTGATCACGGCAAGTTGCAGAAATATGTCAGATACGTACATGTTCGAGCTGATTTCTCCCTTGGGATAGTATTTGCGTGCAACCATTTGTTCAGGTTGTTGCTGTTAACACGTAAAACACCTGAACGGTACTTCGACCTACTTTTTAGCGAAAATTGCTACGTACAACCTACAATTAGCACCTTGCACATCAGTAGACACAGTACTGTAATCATGGCTATTACAGAACCTTTCCACTATATAATTACCGATCAAACAACGCTAGAACTGTTTTATTATCGTGTATTAGGCATGGATTTGAGAAGTTGTCACACTTCCTGTCATTTTCAATAATACCTTTCTAGCTTTTAGGTACATGTCTGTATGGTTTAAGACGTTGAAAACCGGAACTGAATTGACAAATGTGTTTCTTTCTTTCAAGACTTAAGTGAGTCTATGTGCCTTTAAGACTGATTTCTTACCGTCATTAGGAAGTCACTTTGGGCACTATTAACCTTTTAAAGGTCTATCCCTGTACAATAAACTAGGCTAGGAACTCGTCTCATATTTACCTCAATGGTCTTAGCCAGTCATATATTCGCTCTGAGCAAATGTCGTGGTCTTATCAACATCAGAAACTGTATGGGAGACATTGAGTGCAACTTAATAGGGGTGATTTTATTTTACATGCGCAATCTTGTAATCCTACAAAACCAGTGCTATGTACATGTAAACCTATAAACTAGTCAATGATGCTGCTATAAAGGATAATATTAGTTTTAAAGTGGGCTGTTGCCTTTTCGGAAATGGTTAAATGATTAGAGAGTGGGAGCTGTTATAAGAGAACACTAATGTTAGAGGGTATGACTGAAAGACAACTGAAATCTCAGTTATCAGTATATAGCTTAGATTATGATAAAATGTCACAAAATGCGGGTGCGCGCATTTGAAATCATTATTATCATTCATTGTTCATTTCTTGTTGCATTATAGCAATTAGTAAGGTCATTGTTTCTAGAATTATCCATTTTAATTCAACGGCCCTCAGATTATGAAATGAGAAATTATGTTTATCACTTTTGAGGTGGAGTACACTTTACCTTTCATATAATGTTCTAATAGCTAAGTCTTTGATTAAATTTTCTCGCAACCACTCTTTCATTAGCTAATTACCATGCTAGCATTGGTTGAACTTCTTATTCTGATGGACATTAACGATCTGTCTAAAGTGTAATGTCACCCCTTTCACCTGTGTGTTCAGGTGTACGTGTCTGACTTCACAGACGGCTTCATCAAAGTGCTGGACCAGCGGCGCAGCCTGACGTCCCAGTGGACCGCGGGGTGGCAGGAGTTCCGCGGGGAGGGATGGGTCTTCCGCCAGAAGAGACTGCTGGGGCCGGCCGGCGTCTGTCTGGACAGGGCGAGAAGAAACCTCATCGTGGCTGACTACCATGGTAACAGCGTGGAGGTGTTGGACGTGGCAGGCGTGTACAAGGCGACGGTAGCCAACGGACTCAACCATCCCGAGGGGGTGGCCGTGACTCCCCAGGGGCACGTGGTCGTGGTGGATAGTGGGAATAACTGTATCAGGGTCTACAAGTGTACTGACTGAGAACATAGACATACATGTAAGTGATTGAAAAACTTTAGAGACCTGTACGATCTAGTAGTAGTAATTGTTAATGTCAGGCCAATACAAATTGATAAGTACATCGATTCCGTTGTTAGTGGCTATAGTATGGGGTCGATGTAACTGTGTTTGTTACTCCCCAGTTACGTACATGACTACTCGTAAAACAATCAAACATTGACGATCGATCTGTACAAAGTTCTTACAAATACAAACTGATTTTACAAGACGTGCAAGCCTCTTAGAGAGCTATTACCGACGGTAAGATGGCAATGTTTTTCAAATACCTCAGCGGTATCTCTTTTCTGTTTCAATTGTTTTGTTTAATGTTTGAAGCTTTATGTTTAAGGTGCTAACGGAAGCCAAATTATCCGTGACGTAATGATTCGATGGTGGCAGTTATAAGTGGTGGCAGGGGAGGTAATTGTTATTTACAAGGTGAATATAAGCGGCAACATTGAAGTTAATTACCAGATCAAGCATAGATCAGAACCACACAAGAAATACAATACAGAAGTTATATTTTTGGAGTCCATCATGTTAAAAATGCAACATCAACGTGCACAAAGAGGTGACTTGTGGCCAATGTCTAAATATTATTAAGAACGTTGTTTGTGAAATAATAAAGATCTTCATCAACATACTGATGTGTTTTGGTCCTTGAAAACGTGAGGTGTATGAATGTACAGACAACGTGCAATAACAATTTCCCACCCTCTACACCATGTCATCACTCGTGAAATATATGTAAGTTTATTGCCTTGCTACGTGTCAAAACTAGACACGATAGCACACTGAATGGATGTTGTTCGTAAAATTGTCGCTAGGTGGGGCTTCTGATCGGTGAAGTTGATGGCGCATAAGTTTTTTTGTGTCTGGGTGTATGTATTATGCAAGAGAGGATCATTCAGCACCAAGGACAGGCCAAACCTCTAAGAAAGCCACTTAAGCCATGCTGGCTGATACGAGGATTAGGCTACAGAATAGTCGTAACTCGTCTAAACGTACGCTCGAAACTAGTTTATTTATATTGGTAGATTATGTAGACAAAGGGACTTCGTAACCAAGATGTATACTCGTACCTGTAATAAAAGAAACCAATCTGTTTTATCTGACCTCAGCGTGATAGAAACCTCCCGTGCACCGTTACCCCGGCCAGTCTCCTCCCTACCGCCCCTCGGCGCGGATTAATGACAGGAACGGAGTGAAGGTCAGGTTCATACCGACCCCATCATGAGACAAACCCCGCTCCTCGTGAGCGGAGACAGTCATTCAAGGTTAATCCTTTCAACAAGTTCTACAGACAATCACCGGGAGACGCCGGGTCCAGGTCTGGTCAGCGGGGAGAAATTGTCTTACAGTCGTCCGAGGACAGATCAATATCTCTGTACCCTTGTAACTATGTATCAAATTTTCGTTAACCCCTGTAAGGTCACAGACTTAAACCCAGCAGATTTCACGTCTCAAAAAAAATGTCAAGATTCTACAATCTTACTTGTATGATTCATGTATACTGAGTTACTGATTTTTCTCGCATTACATTTCGTATGTATTGTATAAACTTGAATATATAACAGTTACATAGTACACTGTAATTTAGCCCGAGGGCTAGGATATTGTACTTGCAATTGTAAGTGTGTAACCAGGCAAATGAACCAGTTTTATCTCTTCTTCTAAAAGGTACCCTTAGTAGACTGGAGGCTGATAACTTATAAGAGCGAATGGAATCATCCTCATCTCCCTCCAACATCTTCACTCAGTACATGTCCCTGGAAGAGTGACATCAACATGTATCCACTACTTCGCAACGTCACCTGGACACCGATAAAAATACAATCTCTGTCAGAGGACGTTTTAGTGCACTTAATGTTGTTTGTCGCTGTCTGAAAGTACCATATAGGGATGTCAGGGCTAGCAGGGCTACTGATGGAGAAAGCTGCCGAGCCTCCCTGTAGGCTTGCAGGGAAAGTTTAACCGTGCTGGTCACGTAGAATAGACACATCAGTTAGTGTTTGCTCTCATCCTGGAGTGACCTTAAATGCCTCATCATCAAAGAGATAGAATATAGGAAGGTCTTGTCGAATTCGAGAAAGACGATATCTGTGAGTTTTTGTTTGCCATGCCAAACATTGAGGAATAAAGTACTTTTATGTTAAAGCCTTTACTGCAGTACGTATACGGAATAGAAGAGGTGTGAAGCATTGCGATACAGGTCAGTAGATATTCCCAGAGTGTTTGGGAATTAGCGTTCTCGTTTTTCGTAATTTTTGCATCTACTAGAAGAAGAGCAAGGCCACGAAGAAAGCTATTTGGGTCACAGCAATACAATGTTTATGGGGACGCAAATGGAAACACTTCAGGCTTTTAGGTGCACACGAGCTGGGAGGGGGATCAGGAATAAAATCGTGCCTGGGAATTCTGTCATATACAGGCCGGGCGGCCTAAATTCTAAATGGAAGAATAATGACCAATGTTGTTTGCAAAGCAATTTCTTCGATGCTTTTACACAGTGTTGCATTTTTCTATAGCTACCTTCAAAACGTATGCCCAAAAGGCCATGTTTGATGTTAATATCCTCTATTTGGCCTTGCCCAACAGCGTGACGGGTCAGCTTGGGGGCAGTCGAGCGTTACAAAAAGCAAGAGCTGTCGACGTTGATTTGTATCTTTCTTGCTCCCAACACAATAACAATGTAAATATGAGCTGACAAGTCAAGTTTATTCGAATATCACAGGATGAGTTCCAGGGACTTATTCATGAGTTAAGAGAAGCATTGAATTTCATAGAAGTGGGAATGCAAGGATAGTTAAATAGCCAGATGATATTGCAACCTTAGTTTGCTTTGGCGTCGGTACCTTTAAACCATAACTGACAGCTACTTCTTGCCCTAATCTCAGGTCTGAATACGCTTAATGTTTTCCTTTTAGAGCTTTTGGATCCGCGGAGGAACTATTCAATCACTGTTCATGGGTGAAATACACGGCGTGGACACAAATGCGTGGTATGGTGTACGTGACTTGTGCATTTGCCTAATGGTTTTGGCGTAATGACCAATCCGTGTCTGTACGTGCGCGAGACTCCACATGACTCCACTCCGTCATCGTACTTCCGCTAATTACAGCTAAGCCGAGGAGGTCGAGTTGGTCGTGATTGGCTAAGCCCCAAAACCATTTTAGTGGGAATGTTTTTGAAACGTTGCGCAAGACAGAAGTACAAGTGTGGCAGTTTTGGGGCATGAATCAGTATGCACAGTTGGCACGTATGTGTGCAGACAGCCACAAGCCTACAGGAAGAAAAGCGCATCATTTTCTTCGTGAAAAACTGAGGTATTGTGAGCGCGCGCGCGTGTGTGTGTGAGTGCGTGTGTGTGTGTGTGACAAAGCTCAGCGTTGACTTTGGGCCTGCTGGCGACTTTTCTTAGTACTGCACCGGTACTTTCGTCATAGTGCTATGGTCTTAATTTTTGCTAGAATATATTTTTTGATGTCAGGAAATAGTGGCATATTCTGATACTGCAGGGGAGTTTTTGTTCAAATATTTCCCCTGTCGTCATATACCGTTGAACGCCGTCTTATCACTCCAGTTTATTCCACAGTACTGTAAATGTATTCTATTGTTATTGATTTCGTGGCAATGAAATTTGATTATCATTCCAATCTTCTAGAAAACATTAACTGCGTAAACTAATTTTAGAGTGATCAGTCTGTTGTTAGGAGGCGGGTAGTATTAGATGTACTGAACGACAATACTTTGTGCACATTGCTATGACATAGTTTCTCATATGTACGAATATATGGGGCCAATATCAGCTCACATATGGCCACTGTGCTCCGTACTATAATCAGGAGTCCAAGAATAAGAGTTCAATCACTGTCCTAGTGCCCTAGTTTTTTTTAATCAAGTCAAATTGTATAGCACAGCAATTGGATCAGGTAAATGTGAGACTAATTAAATGTGTTAGTACAATGTATACGTAGATTCTAAGCCATACAATATTGATAGAAGACAGAATGTACAGTGTAAGGGAAAGCGTATAAGACTACTTGTTAACTACCTTAAAGTACAATCTACATAAAACTTTAAACCTATACATCATTGATAGAAAGCACAATGATGAGTTGTATATCTAGTATACAGCTACAATACAGTTATATACTCTAAAGTCGTTATTAAATTGGGGGAAAAACTAGACAAACGTTGTGTATAGTGCACAATATCAGCACACGGAATGTAGTCTAACCTTTTCCGTTCTATCGGCAACACTTCTCTTCATAGAGGTGTACGGAAGACAGGAACAGACCATTCCCAAGAGTTCCCGCGTACTTACACCCGGATAGGCCTGACGTCCACTGTGTCTTTACCGCTGTGCAAGTCTCCGGTGAAAAATCTCCGCAATTACGCCAATGCGCTTTACCATCGAATATTCATAGACTGGCGTCAAAAACTTGATGGCTTTTCTCCGCTTGCGCCCCGTTCCGCGAAATGACAGTAATTTAAAGCAATGTATGTGCGGGAGCCTAGTTGAAATGCGAGGCCACCAATATACCTGTCAGCCCGGCATCGGGGATTATTTCGTCCCCGAGTGAATCAGCTTTATTGTTTTAAGATAATTAACTGGACCTGATGGCATCTCGGCGTGTGGTGGAAGGAATTGTAAAAGTCAAATAAAAGGGGACATAAACAGACGCAGTGTTATTGCTATTCCCCCTGTGTGGGATGATACGGACCCGTGGTCCCAGAGATGATGTATTGTTAACCTTTCCGGCTAGTTAAAGGACACCGTGTACAAATGAGTGGTCGGTACCGCGCTGCATGACAACATACGCACAGCCACATTCGTCGTAGGAAGTCGTACGATTTTGATGCAGTTTTTTCCAAGCACTCACAAGTAAGAGTCAGACTTTTTCATAAAAATACAGCCAGCACTAACACAAGAATGCGATCTTCCACGTATGTGAACTGGCCTGCCCATAGGCTGTGGGCTAGCTACAGTCTTCCAGACTTTGTGCGCGTAAATACGAATTCGCAATATTTGAGTGCCCCAAGTCTTACTGTAGTATTTACTTTTTGTATCAGCCTTTAAGGGTAAACAGAAGCTTGATTTTTATTTCTGTAAGGGCATGAAGAATAATTTCGATAGCACGTCGGCAGAACGTACTGCACCTGCGCAAAACCCGTAATGTATTAATAATTATACATACCACCTCGGTAGAACGTCTCATATAAGGCCGTATTTGCGCATATAAGGTTAACATCCCGCCTGTAGTTGCCAAATGTTATGTTGGAAAATATATCCTCTGCAACAAGAAAAATTCTAATGCAACGTTGACCAAACATATAACGAAAAACCAAAAACAAAACAGGGTTTTGCGCAGGCACAGTACGTTTTGCCGACGTGCTAATTTCGATAGGACTACCACCTGACAAAGCGCGAACAGAAGAGACGTGAACTATCACAGACGTCAAATAGCCCAAATATGGGACTAAAAACCTATGACGTTTTTGTCACGTATAGTAGTATATATATGTATAGTAGCAGATAGTCTTCCGAGACTGGACTGACAATGAGATGAGTAGTATATATTGTAGTCCGCACTATTGCCACAGCATATGTCTGAACGTCAAAAGAATTTTAAAACTGATAATCCCAGGATGGTCCACGGGACATAATGAATGTAGTTTCTGGGTCTCGGTCCTAGAAGAAGACAAATATGCCTCTATATGTGTATGTCACATCTTGTACTGCAGGATATGTTATAGCAAAGAGGTTAAAAGCTCCTTGGTTATGGCCTCGAGACGGTGTTGGTTTCATATAACATTCTTTGATAGGTTAGAGAAGCCGGACGCTTGTGATGGATGTCATTCCCGTTACCGCATGCACACGTAAAGAGCGGAAGAGGAATTTGAAGAGGAACCAGATTACATGACGGCCCTGTGTCTCCGGCCCTGTTTGATTCCACCTGCCCTAAAAGCCTTCACAGAGCAGGACCTACGCGCTTAAAGCCTGTAGAGCCGCTGCATTGAGGGGGAGGGCGTCAGTGACTAACCCCAGGGTCACTTCCTGGCACTGTTACTAACGATTGACAACAGGACCACAATGAAACCTTCACTATCGTTATGAGCAGCTGAGACGAGAAAAATTTAGTTTTCACTTGGTCCAGACAGCTGCCAGGGCTGGCGGCTCCTCCCACTGACCCCGGGGGGCGGACAGGTCAAGACTTACGGCTCTCTACGGCCAAGTTGACAATCCATTTTCCACAGTAGTGCTACCAATGAAATTCTGTTGAGAACCATTCTCAGGGGGTGGTTACAAACTTTTGAAGAAGCGCCAGCAGCGTAGGGGAGTGACCTTTGAAAGAAGATGACGGTACTGAATACGTGACTAACGTGTGATATGAGGAAAAGCTAAAAATACACAAGGAGATTTTCCGTGATATGATTCAAATGTAAGGATGATTCGGCATGTGAGACGAAATCCAGAGTCAACTTAAGTGACTGAATCCTTGTTTTCAAATGGTTCCAGTCTGATGTAGTATTGGCTCGAACACATCCCGTGACTTCTGCACATTCATATTCGCCCGGCGATCCATTTTGAACATCTTCCTGCCTTTTATCGACGGCATTATCTTTACAACAATCCCATATTTACAATTTATCGCCTAGCCGTGAGGTGATTGGTCTCCACTGGTAAGCAATTCAGCGGGGGTTAATGTGATACACCCGCCAATAAGAACTTGCCTCTCCGGGCTCAGTTGGACGGTTGCAGTCTTCTGTGTACGACGCCGTCCGCAAGCTCGCCCTTATCAGAGGTGTCTGCTAAGTTGGAGAAGATCGACTCTAATGTTTGAGGTTGGACCGGGAGTCTAAAGGTGTTTTGAACGCCCAGCTGTCTAGTTGTGTAGTGCCGAAATCTCTTTAGAGACTTCCCGCCTCTATCTAGTAGTACCCTACATCTGAAGCGCTGGCAATATCAGTCCACAAACTGGCACCACCCTGGAACATTGCAAAAGCAACTCAAGGTAGGGTATTCTTTGTACAATCACATATATATGCATCTTCTAAATGTTAGTGTGGCTACGGCGATTACGTTCCTTTTGCCATGTAGACTTCACCATGCTTGAAGCTCGGAAGACGAAGCTGAGACGTGCTTTATTGATAAGTAGCAGTGTTACTGCGCGGCTGCAAGGCACGGAGACCCGCCTCCTAACAGCCAATCCAACAAACCGTAATCAATACATTCATTAACGAAATAGGATGCTTTCCTTGCACCGCGTTTTCCTGTGCATTGCAGCATAGCTTAATGTGTGCAGTTATTGGCTGTTTTAGCGTTTCCTCCATATAATGCTGTGTGGGCTTATGGCTAAGAAAGTGCCTTTAGTGCGGAGCCACGTACTTCTTGATGGCTTGTCGTCAGATGTAATGTTCCTGGGCGTAATTCAGCCTACTGCACTGTTGCACACACACACTGTGAGTCTACCATGTACATTTAACAGTAAGCGTGGTGCTGAGTAGGCCTGACTAGAATACATGGCGATTGGGGCCGGAGCGCAGCGGCACTGTCCGGGGTGCTGAAAGCCGTGGTGCCGCCCTCACGTAAGTTCTGTCCCTCGCTCTTATGTGAAGCGCACCGGAAGAGGTTTCAACGAGGTCGCACCTGTTCGTCGTTCGGCACGAGATCACCCTCCCGACAAAAGCACCCCTGGGACCGCCTGCCCTCTGAGGAGCGCGCGGAATACCAATGTGCTGCTGTTGCCGGCTGGATGGTTCACAACAATCCTCCCTCTCTCCCTTGAATCATCTAACAGTGCAGCATGTAACCCATTGATCGTCGTCCTCGTTATCTTTGATTAGATTTGTTTCATAACCTAATAAAGATCATGCGCATATGAGAAGTACCAACAGACAAAAAAGGAAGATAGCTTTAGTGGCGTCAACGTGGGTGAGCGCAATATGCCAGCCATTTCAGGGTCCCCAACTCCAAACCCTGTATAAAAAAGATCCGTCCTACTATGACTTGTCACGGAGATTAGTTCCCGCCGTTTTTAGGGTGCATGGCCATCACTGATAGGGCCTGGGCTCTGCGTCATTAATTCTCTTGTCACAAACAGTCACAAAGGAAATCAATGGTAATGCCTGGGGCGGGTTCCAACTAGTCGTGTGGCGTTTTCAAAACGAAATTACTTTTGTTAACGTCTGAAAAGGACCGGCCCAACCAGTCTGGCTCATTTCTTTCCTCACAAGGCAGGAGGCGAGACTTTTTCGAACTGTCATATATTTTAAGGAAGGCATCCTGTCCTACAATATAATTGCAGTAGCATTCTCGGGAGAAGCCAGACGTTTAATTGCTGCATCATTCGATATACAGTAGTACTGTGTTGAAATATTTCCGTTCCTACCTCAATTCTACCTTTGATTAAGAATAGCATAGGAATCTTCGACCGCTAAAGCTTTCCAGTCGTCTATTGGCAGATGTTTAATACGCAATGCAACGCAATTTCAGTAAAAGATGAATTGAAGGTAACAAAATCAAGCATGTATTTGTGCGATTAAATGTGACTGCAGAAGAACTCAGGGAGAGGCCCAATTAGACCAAGCCATTCAGCGCAACTGTAGAACGCAATGAACCAGCCTGACCGTCAAACAGCAAACGATATCAAACGAATACTTTTAACGAGTTGTATTCCCGTGTCATGTGAGATAACGATCTGTAACTATCCGCTCAACCAATGCGTGTTGTCTTGGTCACTTTCTGACGTTGGGGAGACAAATTTTATAATCCACCCGGTGTTGAAAAGATGCCTCTGATGAGCTCATGGGGGACATGAAATGAAACTATTTCGTTAGGAAACATAACTAACCTAATATCGTGGCGTCCGCCGTACCGAACGAGATGATGACAAATAGAACGTATGGCGTAATTAACGTGAGCGCTACATCTATCGTTCAGGTTTGGCGAGATTGCATTAGACTGTCCCGCCCCTGTTTCTGGTACATCAACATTGCCTGCAGCAGCGCTGTCAATATGTGGAGATTAAAAAGTTTTCGTCTTTCCTTTCGCTTATCATACCTTCGTGAAACGGTAGGCATTGTTTTTGGTGTCAGTTTGTCCCTGTGTACAGTTTCGTTGGGACCGCTGACAGAACGTTAGGTCAAAGGTTCCGGAATAGATTATCAAAGGTTATCCTGCTCTATGCATGTTTGTTGCCTTGTGGTAGCCAGTGGGAAAATACGTAGACAGAATCTCCACATTGGATATTCCGACGAAATTATCATGTTAAATGTATCACCATACCGAACGACAAACGTAGCAAATGTCGGGTAATGCCTTCATGGTTGGTATTAACTTGGTATATCAAGGAACTGCATTTTCCAACTCTATCTCATTTTTCTCCCTTGGCGGCTCCAAAACAACATGAGTGACGGTTACTGCTTGAATTTGAATGAATAGTAATCCTCCAGGGTCGAATGAACATCTCAACCCCCCAAAAATCGAACACGTCCAAAGTGAATCGAACAGTCAATGCTCCGCCGCAGCCACCCGTAACGGTTGGTCGATGGACGCAGTGCCGTTAGCCCACGATGAAGGCATCCTTAAACTTGGTCTCCATTGCAGTCATATTTCAAACACTGTACGTCAAAGACAGATCTTCTGTTAGTTTTGTCCACGTCCCGTCAGGTAGTAGTGCAGCTTCCTTGCGTAATGGTGATTTCTCGCACGCTTGTTCGTACGTTTCATTTATTTCCTTGGGCCCTGACTTCTCCGAATTAATGATCTGGTCAGCCTGACCTTTTGTTAGGCTCCACTAGTTTCGCCATCAATCCAAATCGTAGGTGGATAAAGGCATTATTCCTGTCAAAGCGAAGTAGGCGTGAGATGTGGACATTACCTGCTAACCTGGCGCAGCGCGGTCCCAGAAAGTAAGGCCTGCTGAGTTCATTATAAGGATGACGTAAGCGCGCTCATCAATTCTCATACGCTTCAAGAATTGCCACCATGCTGTAAATCCTACAAAGGAGCTGCAGAGGGAGCAATTATATACTAGTACCGCAAATTACAAAGAATATCGGAAAATAAATCCAAAGTGTAGTGGAATTTATTTTTTCTATCATTTTTCAGTCATTTTCTATGTTTTTGCTATTTGTATAAGTAAAACTAGGCTAAAATGTAATTCAATCACTAAGCAAAGTCTTCATCGAGCGAATCATGAGAGCTTCAAAGCCCCATACATCACAGATGTGTGCGCTGATGTCGGGTACAGCAATAGATGTCTCTGGCATGGGATGGATCCTTCTCACTTCAAGGAAACAATCGCTTCGAAATCTCTCTAGACTCTGTAAGGGCGTTAGATAAAGCTTTGCTGGCTCCAGTCCGAAGACACATGTCACCTGTGATTGCTAATTATACCCCCCCCCCACACACACACACACCCATGACAGGAGAGGAGAGTTTGTCTTTCCGGAGTGACATCCTGTGGCACTTATTTATACACTTTCTCGAGAAGCGCTCTCTGGCGACACGTTACAGTTGTTGCAGATGCCTGCTCGGAGGTATTCACGTCTACCAATGCATCTTAGTTTGCTACAGTTGCTTTGGGCAGTGTCATAACATTGATATTTTGAGGAGAGCTGAGTAGGGTTGTTAAGGGAGGACCGTGGGTGGGCTGCGTAGGATTGTATTCAGCACACGTCATTTTTCGTCGTTACAAATCATCCTTAAACTCGTATTTTCTACATCTTAAATAAATCCTATCATATTCATTACTCAAACTTTTCCTGGAAGACATTCCACATCCTGCGAGTTGTGGTCTGAAATATGAAATGCCAAGGACAGCCATTTAGCTGAAACACGCTGAGAAAGATCAGTGTGGATCTATTCTTATCTCGTGTGGATAACGCCGCTGGAAATTGGTCTTGAATACCAAAAAGATGAAAGGTAGCCTTGAATTGCATGTCTCTCTCCGGGGATTTCTGGCGTACATTCTGAGAAAAATCAGTGCACGGTGTGTGTGGCTCATTACCTTTTCTACCATGGCTGATGGATCTTTCTCATATTGGCTCCTCTTTTCATGCTCACAAGGCAATCAACAGAATGCTTCACGGCTGGAACCTAAGCATATAAGTCTATTATAGACGGAAATAACGGCAGGGTCTGGAGTCTTGAGACTGGAGAGATAGCCGGCTGGTGGTCAGCCGGATGTGAAATGACCCTGACCTCTCGGAGGCGAGGCCAGCGCGGATGACCGGTGGTATGGAATGAAGCGATTATGAGCGACGAACTATGGAAGGCAGTGGTCAATCTACTTTGGACATTATGCCATGTGTTCTGTTCTGTTCGACCAGCATTGACGAGGAAAAAACGTGACCTGCCTGCTGAAACAAAGTGACTACCTGTAACAGTGTTCTTCTCATGCACCTGTGATATACCAAGGACAATACATGGAATAAATCTACAGATTCTATGTTCTATAAATGTACATCGACTATGGTCCATCTGTATCTGTCCATTCCATCGGCCTATTCCATTTCCATACACGAGTTTCTATACCTGCATTCTATAACTGTTACGTTAACGTAAGAAGAATTAGGGGAGTCTGGCCGCAATAATTGTCGTCCAATTCCATTCGAAGTGAAATTGCACACTAGTAACGACACAGTATATCTGTTGATCTTACAAAAATGTGTTCGCCGTTAGGGGGTAAACCTTCAGCAGTGAATGTGTCCAGAATTTAAACATGTATCCATGGTATAGGAAATATGGTCTTTCTAGTTTGTCCATTTAATTCAAAATTTGTCTTGCTTTAATCTATACCACTTCCCTCGGCCCGCAAGCTGACTGGCTATTATACATCCTCATATTCCGGGCTGGGTAATACGAGGGCCACACAGTTAGGTTTACCACCGTTATAATCGGACAATAAATGTAGAACACAAGAATCAGCAAAGAAAACCATGTTGCAACATTTTGTTATGGCCTCATCTAGGCTATAAGGCCATGGTTTGTACCTTTAACAGACAATTT